ACAATACAACGATTTGATGTAGAAAAATAGTGAATTGAACGAAAATAAGAATGATTTGATATTCAAAAGATATTAAACAACAAACTAAAAAGAAAATGGTCAAATGTCTTCAATAAAAGATATTCAAAACGTTGTTGTAGTGTTAATAATGAATTATCAACTAAATTCAATAAATAAACAAAGAAATTGTTAATGAATAAAATATACATCATTATATTAAAGTATTCAATTAAATCATTAAAGTATTAAGATGTATTTGTTTATTTAATCACTGCCAATGAGACAATGTGTATAAGATAAAATATATGTTATTGTCAATGAATATTGAGATAATTTAACTTTATTTTATTCATTAGCAAATGAAATATTCATATTATGATAAGTTCATAGTACTAATTATATCACACAGTTATACAAAAACATCAGTTAAAATATCAATAATGATTCTGTGAACATTTAATATGAATTATACAAAAATAAATATGAAAATAATAATCAAATAATGCAGTATGTTAATGTCTCTTCATAGTAACATTATTTATAATGAAAAAACAACGATATTCTTTGCTATTTCATTGAAAGTGACAGAAACTAACTATCAACAAAACAAAAAAAAACAGAAAATTAAAGACAATGAGATTGTCAATGAATAATGAACATAATAAATAATTCAAACTCTTTCTACAACATATCTTTGAATAGATAATAAATAAATTATTATTTATTTAATAGTTATATTTTCATCATATTGAGAAGTGAATGTTTCACTTTATTCGTCATGATTTATTTCTTGTGAACTGATGTTTTTCAACCATCATTAATATAAATATTCTTCATTTAAGTTGTTATTTAGTTTTGAATTTAATGATTATTAAAACCCACCATTCTTTATTTTATTATTTTATGTTGAATATATCTAATAACAGTATGATTATGTTTCATTTCATTGATTATCATCATTCATTTATCACTTTGTCTTAATAATACCAATACATTCAATTCAAAATTATTATGAATAATTAAAAATTACTTAATTAAGTGTTAATAGATTTTTCATATATTCTTCCTAGTTTAGCCGAGATTAATCCCTGAGTTATTTGTTTTTTAAAAAGAGTAATCTTTTTCTTTAACTTATCATTTATGTTTTTCTTGCAAATTGAGAAAATCACTTCTTTGCTTTATTTTTTCTTATTAATGTCTTCTCATCCTTCTTCTGCTTATTTCTTCTTTTTAACCTTTTGTTTATTTTCTATCTTAATTTTAAACATTTTCTTTTTCCTTTTTTCTTAATTTTATGAATGAGAGAAGAGAGTATTTCATTCCCATTATATTATTATGTTTAATTTTCTTTTAGTCTTACCCACACTTCAGTACTTCCTTATATTACACCATGTAATATTCTATCATAATATCATGCTACACCCTTTGCAGCATTCCCTAATACATTTCTAATTTAAATACACCGTCATAACCAGAAAATAACAAAGAGAGTTAAAACATCAATTATATTAATGTTTGTGTGGTGTTTTAGACATGCCACACTCTTTCTTATTTCTTTAAAAAAAAGAAAAAATAAACCAATGGAATTAATCTATTAATAAAGATTCTAAAAAATTCATCTGGCAAAAGAATTTTTCTAAAAACGTCGAAACTAATCTTAATTGATCGAACATTGTCTTGAGTTTTTTTAATGAATGTTTTGTTATTGGATTTTGGTTTGAAAACTATTATTTAGTACATCATCTTAAACGAATTGATTTTTTTATTGAGCTCTGTACTAATAATAGAAAGACTAAATCGTATTTAAACTGTTTTCTAATGAACTTATTTCATCAAATTAATGGTTGCTAAAGTTCTTGTTCTTCTTGGTACTCTTAGAGCAAATTCTAATAGTGCTGCTTATGCAAATGCTTTTATTGAAGGACTTAAATCAAAGATGGAAATTGATGTAAAAATCATTAATTTAACAAAGAAAGCAGTTGGTGGATGTAGTGAATGTTTTGCTTGTGTTCCTCACAAAGAATTGTTTTGTACAGAAAAAGATGAATTTATAGAAATAGCAAATGAATTTCTTAATGCAGACATTGTTTTATTTGCACATCCAGTATTTTGGCTTTCAATTCCTGGAGAAGTTAAGAATTTTATTGATAGAATGATTTGTGTATTTGACTTTGATACTAATACATGCAAAGATTCATTTAAAGAGAATTTTGGAAAGAAATATGTTGTTTGTATGCCAAATTGTAGAAGAACAACAAAAGAAACTGCTGTGAATGCTGAAAAGCCTATTGAATGTTTTTGTGAAATGTATGGCATTCCATATTCTAGTGTTTATTTATTTGCAAATAATATGGATGTGACACAAAACGTTCAACAAAAAGAAACTGCAAAGAAAGCAGGAATTGAATGTGGTGAGAAATTAATGAAACAGAACAATTAATTTTAATTTAATTTTTCATTAAAAATTGATTATATTCTTATTTTTAATGTTTTATACCATTTATTTTATAAACAATATATTAATTGGAATATGTTTTATGATGTTGTTACTATTATTGATATTTTCATTCAATCTAATTTGTTTGTGTCTTTATTTTGTTCTATTTATCATTTGTTCAGAATAAATATAACATAACACATATAATATAAAGAAGAATATAAGTAATTACACAAACCAAATAGTTAATTCAAAAGAAAAACCAAAACAATATTCTGTATAAATAAACGTATTTAAATAAATAAGTTGATGAAGATATTATTTTTCGATAAAATATCAAATAAAAATAAAAAGAAATAATCTGTAACATGACATTGAGAGTATGAATTGAACAATAGACTTTATTATTTTTGTTGAAATTCAAAATAATGTATATTCTCTAAAGAAATAATGCTAATTTCTAGAAATGAAAATCAAAGAATATACATAAATACAAAATAATGAAATAAGAAAATAAAAATAATGAAATGAAACAAGAAATGTTTAAACAAATAAATTATAAATCAAGAAAAATAAAAAACAAGAAAATAAATTTTAACTGATTAAAAGAATGAAAAATAGTTAAAAATAATATAAAGAATACATAGCAAAAAGCGTATTAAACTATATTGAATGATGTAAAATTCATCATTCATTTAAAAACTGAATAAGGAATAAAATAAAAAAGTGAAAATAATAACTCACAACAATATATTAATGAAATTCAATATTATTAAGAAATGATTTGAAATAACTTATTGTAATTTCTATTCTATCAGAATAATTGAAGTAATTAATAACTTAAAAAGAATAATGAGATGAAAATAAAAGACAACAATAAACTATTTAGTTATACTAAAAGTATTGTAAAATCAAATTAACAAAACATAAAAACAATATTATTAGAAGTTCACAAACAAATAAAAATAATTGGCACGAAAATTAGCAAAGAAATAATGCATCTAAATAATTTACAAAAAAGAAAAAAGATGCAAAAAAATTTGCATCAATAGAATTTTCCATTTATTATATTTTGCTCCTAAAATAAAAATAAAAAAAATATGATAAATATACAATCTGTATATATTTATGTTTATATTTTATCATCATTTGTATTCATTTTGTATGAAATATTAATGAAATAAATGATTTGATGAATCATATTTAATTATTTTTATTCTTTTTATTCTTTTATTTATATGTTATTTATCTATCGTATTTTTATATATTTATTTCTCTGTTTATATTATTTATCTATCATCTTCTTATTATCTATATATTATTATATTATTATATTCTTCTTATTTTATGTTTTTTATGTTTATATTATTTAGATTTTCTTATTGTTATTCTTTTCTATTTAGATATATTTGTTTATTCATCCTTATCATTTTTATATTCTTATCATTTATATCTACTTTCATTTTATATTTATTCTCTTTTGATTTATATTATTTTTATATTTTATACTTTGATTTTATTATTATATCATTGACTATCATTTCTCATTTTATTTATCATTTATTCTTATTATTCTTTTGTTTTATATTCTATATCATATATTCATATAATTTTCATTTATATTTTATCACTTATTATATGTTATAATAACATAACACATATGATTGATTATATAATAAATATCATGATGAAATTATACATATAAATAATAAACATAAAATGAATAAAATATTTTTCAATAATAAAATAATGTTAATTATTTTACATCATTAAATTAGACACTTTTTATTGAATATTTCTCATTTCTTTTCAATAAAAAATACACCATTTATTTCATTTTTCATTTCTTATTTTATCATCTCTTTGTGATTTATTACTTTTTATATTCTTTCTCCTTTTATATTCTCTCCTTTCTACTTTTATTCTTTCATCATCTTCTACTTCTTACTTTATTTTTATTCTTTTATATCTTTCTCTTCTTTTTCAATTATTTGATTTCTTTCGTTGTTGGTTATATGATATGTTAAATATTTTTCTTCAAAATATATTTCTAATATCTGAGATATTCATTATTATTCTTGTTCATTTGTATTGTGTCATGAAATACAAACATTATTCTTTCTCTTATTCATTTATTTTTTTATCATTTAATATGATAAATACATGCTTTATTTCATTCTTGATATCATTCAAGTTATAACTCCAATCCTACTACGTATGACTCATTATAAAAGAATTTTCTAATATTATTTTCAATAACCATAATATATTCAAGTATGACATTCATTTTTAGTGTAAAGTTATTATATAACTATTTTGTCTTTATGGTTATTCATTCAAATTACTTATCATGGTCAATATAGTTGAACAACACAAACAGCTAAAGAAACAAAATCAAAAAACATAAACTCTTTATTTAATAATATTTATGTTTAAATAAATAATATGAATAATAACAAAAAACTATATGTTAAAGACAAGAAATTAAAAAGTAATTTTTATTACTACTCTATTTAAAAACAAAATACATTTAATATAATAAATAAATCAAAATTGTTTAAATTTATCTTTGTTCTCTTTTTCTAGGAGCAGCCTGAATAATATGATCAACACGAATAATCATTTCAGCAGCTTCAGTAGCAGCAGTTAAAATGTGTTTTTTCACTCTAAAAGGTTCAATAATACCAATTTGTTTCATATCAGCAATAGTACCATGTTCCATATCTAAACCAGCATTTTGAATTGAGTTATTTGCATGAGCAGCACGTAATTGAGCAACAAGATCAGCTGAGTCATAACCAGCATTATCAGCAATGATCATTGGTAGTTGTCTTAAGGCACGAGCAAAAGCCTCAACTGCTAAAGCTTTTTTGCCTTCGGTTTTTTTAGCAGCTTCTTCAACTGCTAAACTTAATTCCATTTCAACACAACCACCTCCACAAATCATTTTAGTATCTTTACGAATAATATGTAAAACACATAATGCGTCATGAAGACTTCTTTCCATTTCTCCTAATAATTGTTTAGATGGACCTCTTAATACAACAGTACAAGCTCCACCATGAGGAAATCCACTAAATCTAATTAAAGTCTCTTCACCAATCATAATTTCTTCAATACTTTTGCATGTACCTAATTTAGCTTCATCAGGATGGTCAAAAGTAGATAAAATTTCTGCACCTGATAATGCTGCAATTCTTTCAACTCCATCAAAGTCAGCATGATCAATTGAAACAATACCATTAGCGTTAAAGAATTGTTCTGGAATTGGATATATTAATTGTCTTGAAACAAAACAAGTAACTCCATGTGCTTTAATTTGTTCACATTTCTTTAACATACGACTTCTCTCAGCCTCTTCAATTTCAGCTACTTTTGAAACACTATCAACTTTAACTTTACCACTCCAAATTTTAATTCTGTCATTATCCATAGCAGTATTAGCAACCATGATTTTTGGATTTTCTACTTTATGTTTTTGTGCTGTTCCAAATTTCTTTTCTAATAAGAATCCATCTTCTAAATATGACTCTCTCATTTCTCCTCCAATCTTTTGGAGAATAACAACATTGTCAATGTCAGCATCTCCAATCTTTTCAATAGCATCAACTGCAATTTGTGCAAATTTTTCTTTTTCTGCTGAAAGAATTTTTGATGATAAAGTAGTACGTGCAATATCCATTAGTCTTTTTTTATATGCTTCGTGGTCACTTGAAACATCAAATTGCATAGTTTCTAATTTTTCTTGTGCAGCCTTTAAAGCAATTCTCCATCCCTCAATAATAACTTGCGGATGAATTTTTTCTGCCATTAATTTCTCTGCTTCTCTCATTAATTCTCCAGCTAATACGGTTACTGATGTTGTTCCATCTCCAACTTCTTCATCAGTTGTTTTACTCATTTCAACAAGAACTTTAGCAGCAGGGTTTTCTAATCTAACTGATTTGAGAATAGTTGCTCCATCATTAGTAACAGTAATATTATCAGCTTGTGATGAACCAATTAATATTTTATCCATTCCCATTGGTCCTAACGTTGTTTTAACTAAATCTGCAATAGCAATAGCACCTACTGTTGCAGTCATTCGTGCTGTATCACCAACAACATGTTGGGTATCACTTTTAAGTACTCGAACTGGTGTAGAATCGAATTGTGTTCCTTGCATTTGTCTTGTTGTATTTTAAATAATCAGTTCTATTTCTTTTTAAAACTTTTTTATTATATTTTTGTTATTCTTTATTATTTCTTTTACTATTTCGTTTTTTTTTTTTAGTTAAACTCTTTTTCAACTCTAATTATTTTCCTTTTAAATTTGAATTTTTAGGTTTTTGTTATTATTTCTTATTACCTCTTTTATTATTTTTCTTCTTTTATGTTTTATAAAACATTTATTATTTATTTTTATTCTTTATTGTTTTTCAAAATAATCTTGAATAAATCCTTTTCTTTCATTTAATTAATTACACACCCTTTCTAAAATATTTATCCTATTATTATAATTCTTTAAAATGATTAAAGTTTACATTTTAAATATATTTTTGATTGTTTTTAATTCTCTTAATTTCTTTTAAGTTGTATTTTTATCTTAATTTATTCTCTCTCATGTCCTTATTAATTATTCTTCTTATAATATATATCCATTTATGTCATTTGATTAAAATATTTAAGAATAATAGAATAATATGATGAATTATTAAGTAATTAAAATGAAAATACATTCACTTAAAAAATATTTAAGAAAAGAAAATGAATAAATTCATTCTAGTTAGTATAAAACACAATTAATATTTGTATTACTTCATTTAAACCAAAAGAATATTTATTGAATCTATTTCACACAAAATTTAAAATATTACAACTTTCATAACTATTTAATAATTATGTTATAACAAACAGAAGCTATTGAATATAATAATTCAGTTTGATAGAATCTATAATAAAATTAATATTTAAACTAAGTAATTCTAACTTTTAATCAATTAATTTATTATGTTAATTTAAAATAATACTATATATAACTACATCAGATAATTTAACAATAACACAACAAATCTTTTTCTGTATCTTGTTATCAATATACGCTTATAAGATATGTATAAATTAATATTTATTATAAAATATTATAGAGAAAATCATTTTTATCCTCTTAATAAGTTATTTATTAATCATAAATTTATTGGTTTTCAATATAAGTTTACTTTAAATTAAGTTTAGAATAATGATATTAGAACATTTCAATAAAATAGTACTAAAAATTAATTTAAATAAACTTATTAAGAAATTATTTTATATTTTTATTCAACTTGTTTTATTTATATATTTGAAAATCCTTAAAATGATTAAAAAATCTCTTCTTTTTTTTTAAAAATGAGACAATGAAAGAATGAATGATGTATGGTAATTGGTTTTCTCTTTAAATTTATTGGTTCTAAAAATATAAATTATTATTAATTAATAATTATTACTTTAAAATGTAAAAAGAAGTTACACTACGTATATACAATTTTTAGCAACACTATTATAATCAAATATAGAATTTATTCAAAATTATTCATATAATAAGTTATGTGTATTTAATAATAATCAAATAATTTATATAAATTCTATCTATTATAAATTTATTTGCAATTAAAAGAGTAACTTGTTATAATACTTTTATATTTATAAATTTCTGTTAACAATTATTTTCATGAAAAACTTGACATAATAATTGAAAAAAAAACAACAAGAAGTTAATAATTCTTATACTCTTTTATTTAATTAGTTTATCTCTAAAAATTATTGGAATAAATAAAAGTTACTTGTTAATCAATTTAATACAGTAGAGTAAGTTCATTAAAAGATTTAAACACTTAAAGAAGAATATGGTAGGTTAGAGTATAAATAAATCTTATTTATTCATCTACTTTATAATATCAATTCGTTCAAATAAATAAAAATAAAACAAACAATAATCATAAAATGATTAATATATCAAAAAATTAAGATAAAAAAGAATTAAAAAGAATTAAAAAGGAAATTAAAACTAATTAGTGTAGAGTTATTAAGAGGAATAAAAATAGGATAAGATAATGCTTAGTCAAACCATATTCTGTTAACAGCTTTTAAAAAAAATGTTATTACAATAATTTTCCCCCACAAAAAATTTAGTTATTATGCCTATCAACAATTTGACTATTTTCTTATTGGGAAGTGTTTATTTCCGTTCATCCAATATGCTACTTCTATCATAGCATTTTTTTTCATAATATTCTCAATATCTAGTAACTTTTTTTAACAAAAAAAAATATTTATTATCATTCAAAGAAAGTTGATTTTTACAAAAAGAAAAAAGAATTAAGAAAAAAAAAAAAGAAATGAACAAATGGAAATTGAACCATCTATTGAACAATGCTCACTTCATCGAGTTAAAAGAATTGTAATTGACTGTATTAAAGAAGACACTACTGGAAATACAAAAAATATTCAAACATTTTGGTCATTATTAAAACAAACCCTTATTGAACAAAGGCTTGTATATGATGATACAAAAGAGGTTATAAGAACTTCTAATGAAGAAAAACAATTACGTGACCTACAAATGAGAGCAGAAGAAAATCGAAAAAAAATTGAAGAAATGGTTATATCTCTCACTAAAAAAATTCAAAATACTAAACAAATCGAACAAAGAGTAGGAACAGAAGAAATAACACAACAAGATGCTATGATGTTAGAAGAAGCACTTGAAATGGTTAAACAAATGAATGAAATGAATAAAAAATCATTAAATGAATTAAAAAAAATAGAAACAGTAAAGGCACTAGGTGAAAAAGTTCGAAGAGATAGTTGTAGCTTAATACCTAAAGATAATTTAATGGAAATAAATTGAATAATTATTTTTCTTTTTAAAAATATACAACATATCATTTGTTTGCTAATAAATAATTTTTATTTGTTACTTTTGTCTTGCTTTATTAATTGAAAACTAAACAGAATATTTAAAGAAAATATATAAAAAAACTTAAACACCTAACAACAAAGAGAAAAATAAAAACAAATACGTTAAAAAGTAGATTTATCTTATTGAACTTTCTGTAAAATAGAAAAAATGGGAATAACAATTCATTCAAAACTTACAAAAAAAATTAAATTCTTCCATTCAATAATCTTAAAATTCATTTATTTAAATAATTACAATGGGAAATACTCAAATTCAACTTGGAAATCAATCAATACTCATTGAAAGAGAATTAGGAAGTGGTGGATTTGGAAAATTATATCTTGCTCATCCACAAAATAATTTATCAATTAATTATGCTTTAAAAGCACAATCTTTTTTTGACCAACAAAGATTAGATCAAATTAAAAAAGAAATTGCAATTCAAAAAAAATGTTGTCAGTGTGAATTTGTTTGTCAATTATATCTTTCTGCTGCATTTTCAAATCCAAGAAAAGAAGTATTAATGTTAATGGAATATTGTCCTTCTTCATTAGTTCAAATATTAGAAAAATCATATCCAAAAGGATTACAAGAGTCTATTGTACTTGGTATTTTCTATCAAATAGCTAATGCAATATCATTTCTTCATTCCCAAAGTCCACCTATTGTTCATAGAGATATTAAAATTGAAAATATATTGTTTTCTTCAACAAGAAAATTTAAACTCATTGATTTTGGAAGTGCAACATTTGAACCTGAATTATTAAGAAAACAAGGTGACTGTGGTACTATTGAAGAAGAAGTTAATAAAATGACTACTCCTGAATATAGAGCACCAGAATTAATTAATGTTTATGAATATCTTCCTATTGGATGTAAAAGTGATGTTTGGGCATTTGGTTGTTTAATTTATAAATGTTTAACTCTCCATACTCCATTTGAAGATAGTCCAATGAAAATTCTTGCTGTAAAATATGATTTACCAAATTGTTCTCCTCTTCTTCAAACTTTATTTAAAATGATGTTTATCAGAAACCCAGTACAACGAGCTGATATTTTTCAAGTACTTGGATTTATTACAGACGCAACTAAATTACCAAATCCTTATATTTCATTCAGAAAACCTTTCCAATTATATCACAACCAAAATGTTCAACAACCTCAACAACAATACATCAAAGATGACATAAAAATACAAAAACAGTCATGTTATCAAAATATTCAACAAAATGAAGTAAAACATAAAGATGATAATATTAAAGTAAGTGGAACAAAAACTTCTGTAATATCTAATCAACAAAATACTTCTGAAACTTCAAAAAAAACTCATGTAGAAATTAATGAAAATACAATTAATATTTGTGGTAAACTTGCAAAAGGACTACCTCGATCTCCAAGAATAGCAAATACTCATTCATCAAAACTTCCAAAAGAACCTCCAAAAACTAATGAAAGTTATCAGTCTCATGACTTTGGAACCTTTAACTTCAATGAACCTGTAAAAGTTTGTATTCCTCGTCAAAAACAAGAAACAAGTCAGTCATTTGAATTTAAAGATAAATGTTCATTTGATGAAGCAGATCAAGATAAAAAACAACTTCATACTAATCATGACTCTCATCAACAATCTCTAAAAATTTCCAAAACTAAACAACCTCATCTTTCTTCTGAACAAACAAACGAATTATCTCCTTCTCTTTTTAATTTTAATTCAACAACCCCATCATATATTCCTCAAGCAAAAGTTATTCATCAAACAACTTCTAATTCTTCATTTGATTTTGGTCAAAGTTCATTTAATTCTACTCAAAGTCAAAAGAAAGAGTTTAATTCATTTAATTTTGATTCACAACCTATGACTTCAATTCCATCACCAATGCCAAAACAAAGGATATCTTCTACTTTTGTTTTCTAATACATATTATTTCATTTATTCTCTATTTTATTTTTTTTGTGTTAATTTTTTATTTTAATCTTATTATTTTATATGACAAATACTATTATTATAGAACATGAACCTTATGGTTTGTATTGACTTCTTTTGTTTTATTTTGTTTTATTATTACTCAATTGTCAGACTATGCAGCATATGCAAAATTAGGTGTTTTTGGATATTTCTTTGTTCTTACGATTGTTTCAATACTCTTATTAGTTCTTTATGTTATTTTATTTAGAAAAAAACATGGTCCTGAAGTAACAGTTGTTAAAATGGCTTAAATTATAATTTAAAATGTTTAAAAAAAAACAAAGAACCATTAAATCATTTATTTACTCATAAGTTATTACTTATTGATTATTATAGTTATTGGTTTAAAGATCATCCAAAGTATACACTCTGTTTTGGGCTGGAACTTCATAACTATCCTCTTCTTCTTCTTCCTCTTCTCCTTCATAACTATCTTCTTCATTTATTTCATCATCAGAAATATCATCTCCAACTCCAAATTTAATTCCAACATCTTTTTTCTCTTCAACATCTTCAGCAGGTAATCTATCTGGAATTTCTTTATATTTTTTTAATTGAATAATTTCATCTGAATTATATTTCTTAATAACATCTGCTTTTCCATCTTCATATTCTCTTAATGATACTAAAATAACATCATTAACATTAATCCATACTTTTCGTTGCATTTGTCCTCGAATATGACATTGTCTTGTTTTTCCATCAAAACAATAGGCTTCAAGTCTTCCATTTCCTAACATACGTGTGACTTGACCATACTCTTGTCCTTCTTCTTTAAAAACTAATTCGTGAATTCCTCCAACATTTCCTCCTTTTCTAGCTCCACTTCTTTTTCCTCCCTTTCCTTTACTACGTGGCATTTTTACTTTTTTAGTTCTTGAATGAATCTTTTTAAACCCTAGATCATTTCTTTGTGTTTTTCTTTTTTTCTCTGTGTTTTTCTATTTTTCTTTTCTCACTACTTCATTTCATCCATCTTCTAAAAATCCTAATAATAATGACATCTCGCTCTTAAAACTGAACATAAATGAAACAAATATTTACAAACATATAACTCCATCAATTAGTCTATATTCCCTTTTAATATCATTTGTTGAATATGAGAAGAATAAAATATACTATAAATATACTATTAATTATTATTTTGCAATTATCAAAAAAATACCCTCAAGGGTTACTATCTACGCAGTCCTTTGTTACTGATGTCTGGAAAATCTAACAAACAAAAACAAGCAAAACAAACCAACCCACTTATCGTTGCCAATAAGAAGGTATTTGGAAAAGGTAATGTAGCTCATCCACGTGATTTGACTAGATATGTTAAATATCCATTATATGTCAGAATTCAAAAGGAAAAGAGATTATTAATGAAAAGATTAAAGACCCCACCAGCAGTCAATATCTTTGCCAATCATACTCTTGACAAAACTAATGCTACTCAATTATTCAAGATTCTTGATCATATTAAACCAGAAGAAAGAGCTGCTAAATTACAAAGAATTAGAGCTGCTGCTAAAGAATTAGCTGAAAAAACACAAAAAGGAGAAAAGGCTACTGCTTCAAAGAAAACTGAAAAACCAGCTACTCTTAGTTATGGTATTAATAATGTTGTTAGATTAATCGAAAGAAAACAAGCTAAATTAGTTGTTATTGCTCATGATGTTGAACCATTAGAAATGGTTGTTTATCTTCCATACCTTTGCAAGAAATTACAAGTTCCATACTGCATTGTTAAAGGAAAGGCTAGACTTGGACAATTAATTCACAGATCAACCGCTGCAGTTGTTGCTGTTACTGAAATTAAGAAAGAAGATAAAGCAGCATTTGAATCACTTGTTCAAAATGTCAAATCTATCTACTTCGAGAATGCTCATATGTACAGAGAATTCGGTGGTAGAATTAATGGATTTAAACACAATGAAAAACAAAAGAAGATTCAAAGTAAACTTAATAAAGATCTTGCTGATAAAGCTAAACAACAAGCTGCTTTAACTGTTACCACTGCTGTAGAAGAAAAAGCTGCTCCAGTTGCTGAAGAAAAGAAGGCTGACAAGACTGCTTAAATTTAATATCCCGTTATGAATGTTTCTTTATTCTTTTATTTTTAAAATATTGTTTTTTATAAATAATTTTAAACCATTTATTAATTAAGTTAATGAGTGATAAACAACTCCAACAAGAGTTACAAGAAGAATATAATAAATATCTTAGAGATGACTATAAAAAGGCTCACTCTACAAAGAAAGATTTAAACGAAATTGAAGAACATAAATTGAAAAGAAAAGAAGTTGAAACTGATTGGAATGACGATGACTTTGAAGGAGAAGAACGTGAAGATGAACTAACTGAAGAAGGGGAAATAGAACCATTTAATCTTGATAGAGAAAGAGAAGAAGGTAATTTTGATCGTGATGGTAATTACACAAAGTTTAAACGTGAGGATGGAGAAAAAGATAACTGGATTGAAATGGTAGAAAATGAAAGTAAAAGTATAAAAAATGAAAAAAGATTACAAGAAATAAAACAAAAAGAAATTGAACGTGTTAAAAAAGAAGAAGAACGTTGCAATAATGTTGAACAAAACAAACTTCAGGTATATCAACAAATCATCTCTCTGTTGTTTCCTAATGAAAATTCAAAAAAGGCTATTTGCAGGTTAAAGAAGGAAAAAAAATTAGTTGAAATGAATCAGTTAATTGACGCTTGTGGTAATCTTGTAGATATAGGTGATTATCTCATTTATGAAAAAACAAAAGAACAGCTTCAATCATTTGTTACTTCACATTAACCCTACAATTTCTGGTGCTGTACGTTACTAAGAAATAAGACAAGTTATCCATAATTTATTCATTTATTAGAACAAAGAAATACTGAGATTTTTATTTCCGTTTTTATCTTTGCTTTTGTGTTTTATTCAAGAATATAACAAACATTTTATAATTATAATTATTTTCTTTTTAATTATTTTTTTCTCATGGAAAAAGGTAGCCTATGCATATTTATAATTGAGTGATTATTATTATATTATGTATACTTATTGATGTGATAATAAGTCTTGTACCATTAAAATCCGGTGTCTTTTGATTATTTGTAACTATTTAATAAAATTAAAAAATATTAATTGTTTTGTTAAGTTTTAATTTGAGTCATAACTATATGAATATTGAGAAGTGATTATTTCAGTTTCTTCATTATCTTCTACTTTTCATTTATTTGATATGATGTAACAATTAGTTGATTCTTCGTCTATTATATTATTAGAATTTCCTGTATAAAACATTAAGTCTTTCATGTTGTTTATAATTATTGTTTATATGATTTTGGAAAAGTTTAATTTTAATTTTAGTGATTTTAATCTTCTTATAGACTCTTTATGTATTAATCCATTTATAGATAATATTACAGGTATTATTTCTACATATATTATTTCTCTATTATTTCTTATTTTCTCTTGTAATTCAGATCGAAGGTGGCACGTCTGAAACACCACACATAAACCCTAGTACAAATTCATACTTCGACTCTCCCAGTTATTATCTGGTTATGACGGTGCTTTTGAATTAGGAATGTATTAGGGAATGCTGCAAAGGGTGCAGCAAGAGAATACAGTAGAATATTACATGGATGTAATCTAAGAATCTACTGAAGTGTGGGTATGACTAAAAGAAGATTAGTCAAAGTAAGACTAAAAAGAAGATTAGTCAAAGTAATACAGTAGTAATAAAATGATTCCTTCTCCCATTCATAAAATAAGAAAAATGAAATTCCTTAAAATTAAGGCAGAAAACAAACAAAGGCTTAAAAAGAAGAAATAAGCAGAAGAAGTTTGAAAAAACCTTAATAGGAAAAATAAAGCAAAGAAGTGCTTTCCTCATTTTGCAAGAAAAACATAAAGAATAGGTTTAACAAAGAGATTACTCTTTTTTAATAATAAGCTCAGGGATGGGATTAGTCTCCCCTGAGCTAGGAAGAATAGATGAAAATTCTATTAATACTTAATTAATTACTTTTTCTTCTTATTTTCTCTTGTAATTCTTTGTACTTATTTATTTTATGAATATAATTTAATTCTAAATTATTATCTTGACATATAGCAACATCTATGATATATCCTTTCTTTTCTTTCATATTTTGATAATATATATCTGGTCTTCTATCATTGAATGAATTGTAATTAACTATTAAATCTTTATTGTAAGTTACAATCATTTTATCATTATTAATACATTTAGGAGGATTATTAAAATCAATAAATCAAATTCATTAAAATGTGTAATTAATAAATGTTTAAATATTTGCTTACAAACATAATCATATTTTGATATTTGATTCTTTTTTATTACAGGACATCCTAACAGTATATGATTAATAGATGCAATTGTGTTATGACAATGTTTACAATATTTTAAATCATCATTTTGGAGTATTTTAGATTTAATACTTCCTGTCATACTTACTCCTTCTTGCATTTTTACTACTTGGAGGAATTGATTTCTTTTTATATTTAATGACATCCAAGTGGCTACTGTTAATTTCTTATCATTGAAAGTGCCATTTGCACATCTTATATATTCACCACATTTCTTTTCTTTCCATTCTTTTAAATATCATTTAATTCATTATTTACCCATTCAAATATTTCCTTTACATTGTGCTTTCTTTCATTTAATTCTATTACATTCATTATTTCATTAAAATTAATCTTCTTACAAAATGCTTTCTTCATTCTTTTAATTATTCAATTTGGATTTTCTTTTATTGTTTCTATCATTTCTCATATTCATATGTTTGATCTCCACTTATATTTTAAATATATTCTTAATAATTCTTTACCACATTCATCTCTTGCTGACATTAATCCTAATCCCAATTCATTTATTTTAACATATAATCTACTTTTTGGAATATTTCTACTATATAATTGGAATTGTATTAATGATTTTCTTATTTGTTTATCTATCTTCTCCAATTCTCCTAGTTTCCATGGGACAATACTAAATCCATATCTTAATTTGGAGATTATATCACTATTAATCTTTCTTATTGTATTGAGGCTGCTATACTTCATAGTATTTAATGATGATAAAATAGAAGATACATCATTTAATATTCTTGTACAATATTTGTTGATATTTACTTTATCTCATATTTCAATACCAAGGTATTTATAAGGGTTATCATTAGTTACTCTTGGTAGTTAAGCTAATTCACCATTTATTTGACTATTAATATTAGTCATTATCCCACTCTTTTCTACATTAATTTTTAATCATACTCAATTAATTATTTCTTTTCAAAATAAAAATAAAGTGAGTTTTTGAAGAAATTATTTACTTATCAAAAAAAGCAACGTAGTAATTTAAAAATATAAATTCTAATAATATCAATTCAAAATAATGTGTTAGTGTTTGTTTAGTTATTATTAACAACATAAAATAAAGAGTTGTATTATCTTAAATAAGAGCTTAAAAACATGAAAATCCAAGGTTTTTGTTTTATGAAAAAACATACAAATACAGGAATTGTCTTTTTTACTTAAAGCTTTTGGAATTAGTTTATTTTTCCTTAGTGCATTAAGAATTAGAATGGGGTTAATAGTCTATGGAATGTATCAAGACCAAAAATTTAATGTAAGATATACTGATATTGATTATGATGTATATAATGATGCATCAAGATATTTGGTTAATGGAGAATCTCCTTATAGAAGAGCTACTTATAGATATACACCATTATTAGCAGAGATATTAACCCTAGATATTCTTTTAAATGAACAATTTGGAAAAATATTATTTAGTATATTTGATATTATTATTGCTTGTATTCAATTTAATTTATTAAGACAAACAAATTCATTTATTATGTCATTATTATATACTGCTATTTGGGCATTTAATCCAATGTCAATTGTTATTTCAACAAGAGGAAATGCTGAAGCTGTAGTATGTTTATTTGTTATTTTAACATTTTATTTCTTATATAAAAGAAAAATATGGTTATGTTCATTATTCTTTGGATTATCTATTCATATGAAGATTTATCCAGTATTATATTCACTTCCATTATTCTTTTGTTTATCTAATTTTTATCCGAGTAAATCATTCTTTACTAAAGAACGATTAATTGCAGTATTTGGAACTGCTTTTGTTTTAATAGGATTAACAGGATATTATTATTATCGTTATGGATTTGAATTTCTTTGGGAAACTTATTTATATCATGGAACACGTACAGATCATAGACATAATTTATCAGTCTATTAGTATTATCTATCATTATCATTTGATTTCCCTAAATCAACAATACAATCATTAATTTCTTTCCTTCCACAAATATTTTGTTTAATTGCAATTGGATTTAGATATTGTAAAAAAGATATTATTTTCTGTTGTTATCTTATGACATGTATTTTTGTTGCATTTAATAAAGTATATACAATGCAATATTTCATTTGGTGGTTTGTTTTACTTCCATTTGTAGTACCAAAAATAATCGAAGGAGCATTACATCATATCTTTTTAACAATATTTGTAATTTTACAATATATCGCATCTTATGGTATTTGGCTTTATTATGGATATGAACTTGAATTTAAAGGAAAAAATTCAATGTTTAATATCTTCATTGCTGGAATCATTGTGTTTATTGCTAATATTATATTAATTATATGGCATATTTACGTATATTCACTCAGTGATTCATTAAGAAAACAAAAACAAGTAAATCTAAATGAGTTTTTATTTATTTAAGATTTTTAAAGCATTTTTTCACGATCACTTTCTGTTATTACATCACACATATAACTTACAGTATCATCATTACTAACAAGTAGATGTTCAGTAAAGGTTAATGTTACTGTTCCTTTTCCTTTAAGCATAAATGATACATTCTTATCAATTGGAAGTAAATACTCACTACTTCCACTTCCATTCATACGACAAATTCTCATTGGCTTTTTACCTTCTGGAACAATAAATACAACAATACTATCATCACCTGAATATGAAATTGTCCGAAGAATGTATTGACTATGAACTGTAGTAATTTTAAGTGGTTTTTTATTATTTAAATTAAAAGAAACAATTTTCATAAAATGGAAGAATAATTAATAAACAAAGTTCTGAAATAAATAGATAAGTTAAAAAAACCCTTTTTAATGAATTATTAAATAATATAATAAAGAGTTAATTAATTTCAGAATTGTTATCTCTCAAATTTGTTGTGGAAGTGCTCAAAGATAAACTTGATATTTCACTTGTTAAATCCCCACCAACTTCTTTTTTTCTTTTCTTTTCTTCTTTTTTTTCTTTTTTCAATACTTTCTTTAATTCTTTCTTTCTTTTTTCTTCTTCACGAGTTTCTTTAAATTCTTTCCAATTTGAACTCCATTCTTTTTTTATTTGTTTCTTTTTCTCTTTCATTTGTTCAATACGTTTTTCTCTTATTTTTTTAAGTGATTCCATTCTTTCTTTATGTTTTTTTTCCATACCTTCAAACACATTTTTAAGAGAAGAATCACTTAAAGAAGATTTCTTTTTTTGATTTGATTTTAATTCACTTGAACCGAAAGAAAGATTTGATGATTTTAAATCATCCTTTGATATTCCATGAACCTCTTTTCCTTTTTTTAATTCATTTAGTCGTTCTAATAATAATTGATTCTTTCTTTTCTTTTCTTCTAATTCATAAAATTTTTCATCATATTCTTCCTTTATTTCATAAAACTGCTCTTCAATTTTATCAGCCTGTCCTACACTGATATACAATTGAACATAATAGTCATGAACAAATTGATTTAATGAATGAATTAAATTTTCATAAGTATAATAATCATCAATATTACTTGTAAAAAATTCTAATGACTGATATATTTGAGAACTAATGTTATTATTTAAATATTTTTTCATTGGAAGGGCATTTGTTTTTATTAACATAACTAAATCAATAATAATTTCTGGTGTTAATTCAATAAACTTACAACTATCATCATCAGGACTATTCATTATATGTTTAGATAATAATAAATTATCAATATCAACTTCTTTATTTAACATACCTCTTAATTGATGTGCAAGAATATCATTGTCAGTTGTTTTAACACCAACAACTCTTGTAATTAATTGAGAAATAAATGTTAAAACTTTTGAATTTCTCTCATAAAAATCAATTCCAACAATTTGTTTAAAAAGTCCAATGTCATTAGAAACAATATTAGAGATACTTCTTACCATCACATTAAAAATATCATTTTTAATTAATCCTTCTTTATCTTCTACTAATTGATCAATTCTCTTAAAAACAATTTTTATTAAATGAATAAAGAATGGAGAGAATTTATTTAAAATTTCTGATTTATGGTCATGAATAATATGAAATAATTTAACCAATATCATTAAATTATTAACATACTTTTCATTATTCTCTTCTGAATAATCATCACAATTTCCATTTAATATATTAACATTAATTTTATCAATTAGTTGTTGTTGATCATAAAGTAAATGAATAATAGATTGAAAAAATTTAGGAATATATTTTAATGCAAATACATAAAAAAATATGGAAAAATACCCATCATTATTAAATAATATATTTTTATTATCTACAGTATTATTTTATTTGACAGTTTAATTAAAGTTCTATTAAATTTTTAATACAAACCTTTTGTGATAATTTGTTTGTTAAATGCCCAAATAAGTAATTCTTCTAATCTACCATGTGCATGAAAATATTTCATTAAAATTTCTGCATTCTTAATGCATTCTTTATCATTAATATTATAAATTAACTAATTAATAAATATAAAATATTAGGTATTATATTTATATGTAAATTAATCAAACATTTGAACAAATAGCAAAAACAGCACCAGATTCTTGGTTAAACAATACTTTATTAAAAGACTCAAGATCAAACATTACCAATTTAAAGTTCTATATCTAAAAAAAATAATTAGTAGTTTGAAATGAAATAAAGTTATTACTTAAATACCAAAAAACAAAGAAATGAATGAAAGGAGAAAAATGTTATTTGACATCTTTTTTTGATTTCTTTTCTTCTTCTCTTTTTCTTTTTTTTTCTTCTTTTTCCATTTTCTTTTGTTCAGCTTTTCTTTTCTTCTCAGCTTTCTTTTCACCTTGTGTTACTTTCTTAATCTCATTTTTTGTTACTAATTTTTGTTGTTGTGTACTTTCATTTAATTTTCCTTTATGACGTTCTAAATTTAATTGAGTAGTAAGTGGACCAGATGTAGAAGTTGTTGTCTTTAATAAAATATCAGAAAAATTATGAATTCCTTTTTTAATACAAAGTTGCTGTAATTGTTCTTTTAGTTTCATATTTTTTATCTTCTTTTCTTTTAATATATTATTTGATTGACCAACTTTTTCTTTAATAGAATTTAATTGTCTTAATTTACTTTCTTCTTCACTGCATACTGCTTTAAAATAGGTGTAAAATTCTCTTGAGAAAGTTTCAAAAGAACGGAGTACATTAGTGTAAATTAAGAAGTCATCAGAAGAGCAACCAGATAATGATAAAGCTTTTGATACTTCTACCCTAATTAATGGAGATAACATTCTTTTAATAGGAAGAATATTACATTTAATTAAAGAAGCTAATTCATTTGAAGACATTTGACATACTTCTTGAGTTTGTTGTTTTTCTTCATATTTTGAATGTTCTAAAATAGTTTCAATTGACATAAATTCTTCTAAATTATGTGCAACAGCAACAAGGTGCATAACATAAGGTTCATTACATTTATTAAGCATTTTCTCTAAAGTATCAGCAACAAACCCAATTTTTTCAATATATTGGTCAGTATTTTGAAATGCTCTTCTGAGCATTCTTTTATTTTTCATAAAATTAGTTACTGTTAATTTAATAATTTTACCAAATAAACTGGAATTAAATCCTTTTTTCTTATAAATTGGATTATCAAGTAATTTAGATATTCCATTTAACATTGTAAAATAATTCATTGGAATTAATCTTAAATATACTTCAAATCCATTTTTTAATATTTGAATCATTTTTAATAAGTCTTGAATATTTTTGTAATACTTTTCATTCATTTCTTTCGTATATTCATCTAAATTTCCTCTAAATAAATCAATATCAATTGAGTCAAGCATTGTACGATCTTCAAATAATGGTTTAATTACTTCTTTTGAATAATCAAAAAAATTATCAATAGCATAAAGATAATTAAATGTCGTAAAAAATCTATATGTTTCTACTTCATCTCGTGCATTTCCTACAATATAAATAACTTTTTCTCATCTAATAATTCATTATAAAAATTATTAAAAATAATAAACTTTTTTCTAGATATTCTTTTTCAAATGCCCAAATAAATAAGTCTTGCATTTTTCCATATGCAGAAAAGTATTCCATAACACATGATGCATTTTTTTGACAAAATTGATCTGTAGGATCATATATTAACTATAATATTATATTTTTCTTTTTTTTTCTTTTCTTTAAAACTAAAACAAACATTACAACAGATTGACATTAATAATCCACTGCTTGTGTCAAATAATAAATTATTGAATGCATTAGTATCAGTCATCTTATAAACAAAAAATTTAAATAACTAGTTAATCCAATACTTCTTTTATGAAATATGTTAAATTAATTTGAATAGTTTTATTATTATAATTTTATCATTTTATTGGGTTATTTTCTTTAAGAAAAAATAAAGAAAATTAATTTATTTTAAGGTTTTGTAAAATACCAAAAAAAAATATTATTAATATTGAAAATGTGTTATTTATTTTTTAAAGCAAAGTTGACGTACAAATACTTCTAACTGCTCGACTTTCTTTCGTAAATCTTTTCTAATAATTAGTATTATATTCAATCTTCTTAAATGATTTATTAAATAACAAACACTTCAGCATTTAATTCAGCAAGACCAGCAACTGATTGTTCAATTTGACTAAATCGGTTTAATAATTGATCAACAGAATCCGAATAATCTAATACTGATAAAAGAACTTGATTTGTACTTGCTTTATGAATTTCAGTTGATTTTGAAGTAGCATCAGAACACTATTAATTAATATAAAATTATCTTTAGTTTATATAAAACAAACATTTTGAAGAAATACTTGTATCTTTGCAATATAATCATCAAGTGCACTTGCACAACATGTTGTTTGTTGATGAAGTGTATGAAGATAAGCAGCAGGGTCAAGAGGTTCAAATGATGGATCTTTCAACATTTCATCTGTTGGAACTAGAGGGATAGGACTAACCCATTCTATATCATTTTGTTGTTTTTCTGACATGAAAGAATGGTTTTATAGTTTTTTTTTAAAATACAAAGAAAATAAAAAATATTAAAAATAACTATATTAAACTATTCATAAATTCTTTTTTGTTTTTATAACAAAAAAGGAATTAAAATTGTTGTTCAAGTGAAGACTTTCTTAAAAATGGGTTTGGCACTGAATTACTAATTAAATCATATTGTGTTTCTTGACTTTGAATTTGTTGGTTAAAATTAATGAATGGAATTGAATGAGAAGAATGAGAAAAGACATTTGATATTTCTTCTAAAGCTGTTATTTGTTGAGGAGATAATGATTTTAAAGAGTCAAAGAGATAATATTGATGACAACTAAAATCAAGTGAAAGCATTAATCGAATATATTTTTTTAATCCATTTTCTAATGTTTCAATTGGTTTTATTTTATTAAGATTCTTTCTAATTTGTTCCATTAATATTGAATTAGTAGCAAGAAGAGTAAATACACAAATATTTGATTCATCTGTAAGACTTGATGAATTTGAAATATTTAAATTTTCACAAATTTTTGGTTTTTTTTCATTATCTCTTTTGAAAGAATCAAATTTTAGTTTCTTTTTAGACTCAGGTTTAGAAGTAACTTTAATTGGAGCAGAAAAAAGTTTAGTAATTAATTCTTTATGATTTAAAATATCAATACGTACAATAAATAACATATCTTCATGTTGACTAGATAAAACAGTTAATTTACTTTCGATTGAAACAGAATGTGTTGTTAATTGATGTATTTTATATTTAATTGGTGAGGCATTGACAAATGGAACTAATCGTTTATCAGGAGTGTCATAAATTAATACACATTTAAATTCGCACTCTGTTAGTTGCATTGTTTCTGAACGTAATTGTATGTAAAAATTATTTTGTTTAACAACAATGTATATCTCTTTATTCCCAATAACTTGTGTCCGTGCACAAGTTTGACGCTCAATAAAAATTGATTGGTTCATATTTAATGTATTACTCTTTTGATTTAAAAGTTTTACAACTAATGTATCAAAAAATATATCATCAATAATTCAAACATTTTCTTTTGAACTTTTTTTCAAACTTCTTATCATTCTTCTTTAATTATGAAATTTCTTTGAAAATCTCTTTTATTCTAATTTAGTATTTTTATTCTTTTAATTATTATTTAAAAGATCTTTACTATTTTGTTAGATGACTCACTTCTTTTTAACTTTTATTGTAACTCTCTCAAAATAACTTCATTGTCTTCAAACTTAAAGAAAAAACCTAGAAATTTCTTAATCACATATTTTTCTTTTGAATTTTCATCATATAAATGACGTTGAAAAACTTTTCATAATAATATTCTTTTACTCCTTTTATCTTCTATAATCTCTGTTTTTTTTGTTAAATAAAAATTTCATTCACAAAAACAATATTTAAGAGTAACAAAAATATTAATCCAATAAATTTTTTCTTAACTTAAACTAATTTCACTTATAAAAAATCTTTCATTATTTTACTGATTTATTACAATCAAAAATAATGTATTTTAATTTCCATATTTCTTAATAATATAACTCTAACTTTATTATAAAAACATTTATCAGAAATTTTAAATTCACTGTTGAATATATTTCTCTTTACTTATTATCTTTAAAAAATATACAAATTGTAATTTATCAACCTAAGCTTAAATACGTTAGGATATTTAGGTACTTCATTATCATTTTTTTTAGTAAATTTAAACTTTTGAGATATTATTCAAATAGTGTTATATTCATTCAATTTTTAATTTATTCATAAAAGTTTATTAAATGGATTGTATAAATCACAGTCAAAAAAATATTACATAACGTTCTTTTCATATGTACTACTTCATATACTCCACATCTTTTATTTGATATATTAAAATATCTTCTTTTATTCTCATTAAAAAAAAAAGAAAAAAAAACTTAAAAAGGTTTGAAAGTTTTGTTTGATTATACACCTCATGACTTATGAACTTCCTGATGCTAAAACACTACGACATATACCTGACGAATATAGAAAATGTGGAGAATGTGATAAAACTAAAATTGATGAATTAAGAAGATCAACTATTTGTTGTCATATTTTATGTCAAGCATGTCTTTCAGTAAAACATGAGAAATTTACTTGTCCTAAGTGTGGGATTGAGTTATCAAAAAGTGAGTTTGTTTCATACAAAAGAGATGACTCATTAATGAAAAAAGAAAAACGAGAAAAGTTACCTAAAAACATAAAAGAATTAGACCGAGGGGATTTCAATGATACTCCAACTTATAACAACTTTTTGGAAGAAGTTGAAATACTTAATGAAAAAATGAAAACTGAAAGTGACCCTACTAAAATGGAATTATATATTAAATTAGCTGGAATTAAACCAAGAAAACACAAAGGAACAGATAAAAAAAGGCGTTTTGAAGCCCAAAGTAAAAAAGAACAAAAAAAACCTCTTCATGAACTTGCTATCAACGTTCAAACGAATGGTGGAATGATTGACCTTCATACTGAAACACCTAAAAATGTTATTTCAAAATCAAAACAAACAACTGTAGCTGATGAAATAAAGAAATTCTTTGGATACGATCCAAAATGTGTTCAATTAAAGAAAAAATATGAAGCTCTTAATTGGTTTTAAATTGAATTATTTGTGTTATTACAAAAAAAAAACAATTTATTTTAACTGTGTTATTACTACCTTCTTTAAATTAGGTAATATAATACAACAACCTTTTAATAATAATGTTTTTATTAAATAAAAGAATGTGTTAATAGTACATTCTTTTCATTAAAACAAATTTTAAATATCACAACCATCTGTTCATTGTTAAACTATTTTTTTATTTTATCTTAAAAAATGTAACAATAAAACCATATTATAATACAAAATTATAATGAATATCTTTATTAAATAATCTTAATTAATATACACAATAACTTCTCTGAACTATTTTATGTTTTTTGTTATGTTGGAGTTAAAATAAAAGTAATTTGTTTAAAAATAATAATAAATTCATCATGAATTAAAAATATCAGTAATGCTTTCAAATCTTAAAATGATTAACTTGTTATACATCAAATCATAATACAAACTTCTCAAAATAAATGTTAACAAAATGCTTAATTGAGAAATAAAATAAAAAGAAAAATGGAAATTGTATAACAATTTCAAAAAAAAATGGTTCAATTTTTTACATTCAGAAAAGAATAAAAAGAGTTTCATGAAGAATTAAATGTGTCTATAAAAAATGAATTGCCTATCTCTACTTCCTTCTTTTGTTAGTTTTAATACTTTTTTTTATAAAAGATATGAAATTTCAAGAAAACAAACCGGGACAACTGAAAATGAATAGAAACATTGAAACAAATGACCAAGAGCGGGTTTATGTACATATTCTCACTCATTTGGGTTCTGTCAATATGTTTTTTTTCAGTAATTATTTCTTCAATAGGAATATATTATGGTTCTACTTCACAAGAATTAGATAATATTAAATTTGGACTTAAAATTGTTGTATATATTCTTTCATTCATCTGCCCTTTGTTTGGAATTTCTTATACATTTTATATTAATGAAATAACTCAAAACCAACAAATAATAATAAATATTATTGGAATAATTGGTATCATCTGTTGTTTTTGTGCGTCTATTTATTGTATAGTTATTATGAGTGAAATGTCTAAGACATGGGATGATATTGATAATAGTCATATTATTCAATACGAATTTGAAGTTTGTTATTATTTTCTCTTCAAATAAACATTGTGTCATATATTAGAATGAGTGTTGTATCATTGCAGAATATCGGAGTGATGGAAATCATTATATATTCAAATCATGTCCTTTACTTTCACCAACAACTGAAATAAAAAGCACCTGTAAAAATGAATTTGGTGGAAAAATAATATGTCCAATGAAAGATATAGGATATGGGTTTAATGCAAGAGACAATTTATGTACAGTTCATTTTGATTATACAATTGTTGTATTATCATTAATATCTTTTACCTTAGACATCATACTCCTATTCTTAACTTTACTATTTTCAGTACTCATCATCATTTCCCATTGGAAAAAACCATGTCTTACAAAACATATTACTAAAACACAAACAACTAGATATTTATCAAATCATTCTCAAATCAATAAACAAGAATATGTAGATGTATAAATAATTCTAATTAATTAAATTAAACATCCTTCTATTTATATACTTAAAATTGAAATCATTATCAAAGTTTATTCTTTTCAATTGAAATTCCTTATTAAATAAATTTTTCCTCAAATAATATGATATTATTCAATATAAATACATAAAATATAATGTTGATAACTCTTATTATTAGTTTATCTGAATAAATAAATTAAATAAATACTTAAACCTCAAAATTGAATTAATGTTACTTCATTTGTTTGGAAACATCAACAACATATTTAACTGAAGCAACACTTGAAGCAGGGATATATTGAGTAGTTTGTTTATTAACTAATAACTTCTTGAAAGCTTGTTCTGCTTCTCCAACTTTTCCTTCAAGAAGATCATTGAATAAATTAATAAATTGTTTGGCAATATCTGCTGGAATTTTATCAATGCATCCAGCAAAACTAGATGCTTTTTTAAGTGCAACATTTGCTGGTCTTTCAAAGGTAGTTCCTTTTGATTTGGTTTCAATATTGGATGTAACTTGTTCAAGAACTTTCTTTAATTCATCACAAACCATAACGTCAATAACTCCATCACTAGAACTTGTTGTATTATTAGCTTGTGGCATAACTGGCATTGTTGGTTGTGAAACTGGTACAGTAACTTTTGGAATAGAGGGGATTGCTGGTTGTACCACTGGAGTTGGTATAGTTGGCAAAGTTGGTTGTACCACTGGAGTTGGTATAGTTGGCAAAGTTGGTTGTACCACTGGAGTTGGTACTGGTGGCATTACTGGTTGTACTACTGGAGCAGGTACTTGTGGTAACAATGGTTGTGAAATTGGTGCATTTACTTTTGGGGCTGAGGGAAGTACTGGCTGTGGAATAGTAGGCATTACTGGTTGAACAGGAGTTGGCATAACAGGAATTTGAGGTAATACAGGTTGAGTACGAGTTTGATTTGGTAATGTTGGTTGTGGAATAGTAGGTAATGTTGGAACTCCACTAGATGCAGGAACAGGTGGGAAGAATTTATTATTAGTAACAGATGGTTGTTGTGCAGTAGGTTGTTGAATATGTGGCTGTTGAACTGAACCAACAATCACTTTCTTATAAGGACAAACTGGTTGAGTTCCTTGAGCACCTTGGGCATAATAAATTCTATCAACTAATTCTTTTGTTTTATTATTTTGTTGAGCACCAAGGCATTCAATTAACTTTTGTGCTGCATTCAATTCTCCCATAGAAGCTAATTGTGTAGCGTGTTCAACTATTTTAGTTGTAATTGAGTCAGTTAATTGAATATGACCACACATACTTCTTAATATTTCAATTCTTTCAATAACTTCTTCAATTCCATGTGAAGCATCAATCCAAATATCAATTAATTTATTAACATTACCCGATGCAATATAACAAATTAATGCTGCGTGTTTATTTGTTGGATATAATTTATCTCCAAGTCTAACAATTAATACTGGTTTTAATGCAACATTAGCATGAATACAAATAGCATATAACACAAATTTCCATTCTTCAACCTTACATTCTTCAACAATTTTTTCAAGTTTTTCTTCCATAACAGCATTAACTATATTTAATGATTTCTTTTTATTCCATTCTTCCTTTTTATATTCTTCAATAACTTTTGAATGCATTTCTTTATTATTTTCTGTCATAACTAAGGCATCAGCAAATCGTTTAGTTTTAATACAAAATTCTACAGCTTTATCAATTTCACCACTGACAACTAATTCTTCAATAATCTTATCTTCTACAGTATCTTCCTTATATTTCTCTTCATGAACTTCTTCAACAACAATTTCCCCTTTAGTATTTTCTTTAATTTCTTCCTCTTCTCCAATATGTTCAAATGGATCATCATCTTCTTCAATTTCTGCTTTATTAACTTCTTTTTCTTGTGGAACTTTTTCTTTTATTTCATCAACTTTTAATAATCCTTTTTCTTTATAATATTCATTAACCTTTTCTTTAACACTTTCACCTTCAAATCCTGTAATCTTCATTACTGCTTTATCATCTTTACAAACAATTCCACTAATAAGTTTCCATGTTTCTTGTTCATCTCCTTGACAAGTTTCTGATCGTTTTACACATAATTCTTCAATTTCTCCTTTTTCCATTTTCTTAATAGAAACAGTTCCAACCATTTTTTTTAATAATACTTCTTTCCCTTTAAAAATACCCATTCTACCACCAAATCCAAAAGTACATCCTGAGGTTCTTTCCATCCATTTTGGATGTTTTCCATCTCCATAATCACTAATAGTATAAAAGTTAATAAATCCATCAAGTCCACATGTACACATTCTTCCTTCTTGGCTACTCCATTGGACAAATGTATCCCAAACATTTTCTTGAGATGGAAATTCACAAATAATTTTTCCTGTTTCAAAATTCCAAATGGCTGTTTTATCTTGTCCAGTAGTAGCAAAAATATTGGGATCTGTTTTACTAAAATTAATAGACCAAACTGGTGCTTTATGTCCTTCAAAAACTCTAACTGGTGCCATTGTATTTCTAACATCCCAAAGTTGTACTGGTTTTTCTTCTGAATCAGAAATGGTGACAATTGTTGTTTTTTCAGTTGGAACCCAACAAGCTCCTTTCCAATTAGCATGTGTCTTATCATTAAAGGTCATAATATTCTTCTTCTTTTTACAATCAAAAATAACAATTGAACCAGTTGACAATGTTAATGCAATAATATGAGGAACTTTAACATTCCAATTAACACATTTAATATCAGCTTGTGTTTTTTGTTCTGGTTGAGTAAATTGAATATTTTTTAAATCTGAAATATCATAAATAATAAACTCTCCACATGCACCTCCAGCAACAAGTTGATTTTGACTTGGATGGAATTGAATATCATAAATAACTTCTTTTGTTTCCATTTCTATAATTTTAGCTTTTTCAACATCTTCTTCTTCTTCTTTCATTTCAAGAATTTTACTAACATCGTAAAGAACAATCTTTGATTCATCATTAGAAACAGCAATAATTCCATTTTCATATCCTTCATATGGTCCCCATGTTAATTTATAAAATCTATTTTGTGCAGAAACTTTCTTTATTAATTTAGCTTCAGATGAAATTTCATATATTTCTATAAATGATGAACTATCAAAATCTTCATCTATGGTATCAGCTGTTGTACCAATAGCAAGAAGATTTCCTTTTGGTGACCAACAAATAGTTCCTCTTTTTTCAAGTGTTGCAGTTTTAGACATGTTTCTAAATGTTTTTTAAGTTCTTCTTAGTTCTCGCCTTTTGTGGTGATGTTTTTTTTTCATTCACTTTTTAATTTTTCTATTTTTTACGTTTTTGTGTTGTTCTATTTATATATACTTTTATTTGTTTTTTTGGCTTTCTATTGATAAGGAACAATTAACTTTCATTATCTTCCATTCAAATGAAAAAATATACTTGCTTGATATTTTATATTCCGTTAAGACCAAAAAATATCTCCCATCTAAAAATCGTCTTGTTGAAACAAAATGGGACAAGTTCCAAGTAAGAAAGGAATGAATAAAATATATGTTGGACCAAAAAGAAAACGACAACATATTGCCGAAGCAGTAAGAGGAGCACAACCAAATTCATATATATTTGTAGAGAGTGGGAAATATGAAGAAACTGAGCCTATAGTTATAGATAAGTCAGTGATTATTATTGGATTAGTTGAAGAAGGTGGATCCAATGTAGTAGTTAAAACTGATTCGTCTGCGTGTTTATTGATGTCAACAGCGGAAAAAGTGTTTATACAAAATATTGATTTTACAACGTCGGCTAGTATGAAACCAGTAATTGATGTACAACAAGGTGAGATTATATTAGAACAATGTGGGATTTGTAATGGAGAAGAAGGAATAATTATGTCACCACATAGTTCATCATTGACTATGATAAAATGTAATGTTACACAATGTAGTAAAGTTGGAGTTGCATGTGATGGAGAAGAAACAAGTATATTAATAGATAAAAGTACATTTAGAGATTGTGGAACAGGAATTTCAATTTCACAAGGATCAAATCCATTAATAAGTGAAAGTCTTATTTCACAATGTGGAACAGGAATATATGTTACTGAAAATGGCAGAGGATGTATTATAGATTGTACTATATCATTAAATAAGAAGCCAGGGATATTAACACATAGTGGAGGGAATCCAGTAATAATAAATACTAAAGTTATAGATGGAACATCCAATGGATTATTTGTTAAAAATAAAGGAAAAGGAGTAATGATAGATTGCGAAATTTCCAAAAATTATCTTCCAGGAATTGCATCATGTGAAGAAGGAAATCCATGTATTGTTCATAGTAATATTAAAGAAGGAAAAAATGCAGGAGTATTTGTATATGAAAATGGAAAAGGATTATTTGCATCATGTACAATGAAAGAAAATACAATGCCAGGAATTGAAGTAAGAGGAAGTGGAAATCCAATTGTTGTTGATTCGGATATTTCAAGAGGACAATCGAATGGAATATATTTACATAATAAAGCAGATGGAATATTTGTAAGAACATCAGTTACAGAAAATGCATTACCAGGGATGGCAATTAGAACAGGAGCAAATCCACTTGTGTATGATTGTAATCTTGTTGCAGGAAAAGATTATGCATTATTTGTAAGTGATAAAGGACAAGGACTTATTGTTAATTCTACTATTGAAGGATGTTCAGCACAACCAGTAGGAACACAAGAAGGGAATTGTACGATTCATGGAGGAAAAATTATTGATGGAAAAAAGAATAATGTTCAAGAATGGTTAGAAAAAATACCTGAAGGACTTGGATTGTTAGCAGAAGATATTCCAGATTTTAGTCTTGTTCAATAAACAATAAATTGTGATAATTTGGTTTTTTTAAGAAGAAAAATAAGGGATAATAACAAAAAAATAAGAAAGGAATAAATCTTGAAGATAAACAAAAAGACGAAGTGAAAAACAATAAAAAAGAAAACTAAAGGAAAGAGATGAAGGAGAAAAACAGAAAAGATAAAAAAGAAAAAAAAGACCAAAAATAGAAGAAGGTAAAGAAGATTTTGAGATGGAACTGAAGAAGCACAAGAAAATGGAAGGAACAGACAACGTACTTAATACACCAAGAGATATTACAGAAGAAGAAAAGGAGAAAAGAGAACAAAAGAATAAAAGATGGATTATTGTCCAACAACAAGCATTTACTCATTGGGTGAATGAAACAGTCCAACAACGAGGAATGACAGTCAACGATATAAGTGTTGACTTTAAAACGGGGATTGTATTAATTAATTTTTTTGAATTAATTTCTAAGAAAATCTTAAGAGAAAGATATAATCATGCACCAAAGAATAGAATTCAATGTATTAATAATTTACATTGTGCATTAACATTTATGGAAAGAGATATGTTAGTTAAAAATCCAGGATGTTCAGCAGAAGATATTATTGATGCGGAGAAATATGGGAATAAATTAATATTAGGATTATTATATACATTATATAGAATTTATCGTATGAATCCAGTTGATTTAGTTGGAAGCGAGAATGGGAAACCATTACGAGAAGAAGATGCACTTTTAGCATGGGTTAGACAAACTACAGAAGGATATGCAGGAGTTAATATTAGTAATTTTAGACATTCATTTAATGATGGGAAAGCTATATTAGCGTTATGTCATGCATATACACGATTAACAGGAGAGAATGGATTTGATTATGAAGAAATAGCAAATAAAACAGCAGAAGAAGTTTTAGAATATGGGTTTGATTTTGCACAAAAAAAGATGGGAATAGATAGATTACTTGAAGTAGAAGAAGTGAAAGAAGGAGATATTGATGAAAGAGCACTTGCGATTTATGCGTCATTATTCCATCATGCATTTAAAACATTTAAAGAACTTCAAGCTATGAAAAATGAATTAGGGAATGCATCAGGAGAATTACAAATGCAAATGAAAAGTAAAAATGATTTAATTAAGATGAATTTAGATATGAAGAAAGAGATTGAAGAAATGATTGAAAAGAAAGGATTAATGCAACAAGAATTAGATTCGTTGAATCAACAAATTGAAGAAGTTAAAGGAATGAATGAGAATAAAGAAAAAGAAATAGAAGAGATTGAAAGAAAAGAAAAAGAATATAAAGCAGCGATAGAAGAATATAGTCATAAAATAGAAGAATTAAATAAGAAAAATGAAGAATTAAATTGCAAAATAGAAAATTTAGAAAATGAACATCAAAAAGATGATGCTAAGAAAAGTATATTACAAGAAGAATTAAAAAAATTAAAAGAAGAATTAGAGAAATTAAATAAAGAAATTCAAGTAGAACAAGAATTAAAGAATGGAGCAGATATTACAAGTAAATTTGAAGAACAATCTAAAGCAAATAAGAAATTAGAAGAAGAAGTAATGGAATTAGAAGAAGAAATGGAAGAATTAGATGGAGTATCGAAAAATTTAAGAAAGAATTTAGAGGATATAGAAAAAGAAAAGAATGGATATGGGGATAGTATAAATGATATTTGTAAAGAAGCCGAAAATTATAGTGGAGCACTTGGTATATTAAAGAAACAATTAGAACTTCATGCTGAAGATTTACAAAGATGGTCAGGAATGTTAGAAGGAAAAAGTGATGTAGGAGATGTTGAATCTATTGTTATGAAATTAAAAGCGGATAATGAAGAAAAAAGTGCACAAGAAAGAGTAGCTATTTATCTTGCTATGTTACAAACAGAAAATGAAGAAATGGAGAAATTATATAAAACGAAAATAGATGAAATGAATGGAGTAGGAGAAGCAAAAAAGAAGAAACCAGTTGCTAAAAAACCAGCAGTTAAGAAATAATAATCTTAACTCAACACATTAACAATAAAACAGTTTTTGGTTATAAACATTTTTTATTTTAACACTAACATAAGTAAGTTCATTACTATTTTTTCTAATGAAGAGAAATAGAAAATCATTTAACATAAATTAATTCAACTACACATTATTTTTAACGTTATTTAATCATATAAAATCCATTAATCAGATAAATCATATATTGTATAATCATTAAATAAAGTATAAGATATTGTTGTCATTACAAATAAGTAATTGGATTATTAATAACAATAAAAAAACGACACAAACTAAAGAAAATATCTAAAACACAAAAAATCGAATAACTGAAGACAATAACTATTATTACAAAGTCATCAAAGAATTTAAAGAAAAAAGAATCAAGAAGGACAAAGGAAGAAAGAGAATTTGAAATAAAAAATAAAAAGAAGAAGAGGGAGTTTAAAGCCAGAAATTTAAATAAGTAGAAAATAAGAAAGAAGAAAAGGATATATAAAACAGAAAATAATAAACAGATTTAGGAAAAAAACTGAAAAAGAAGTAGAAGTTGAAAACTTTAAAAAGGGAACTTAAAAAGTGGAAGTAAAGAGAAATGGGAGAAGAAGCACCAGCAGTAGATTATAGTGCAGTAGTTGAAAAACATTTAGGAATTTGCGACCAAGTCATAAAAGGAGGAATGAGTATTGAAGAAGGACTTAAAGAAATGTTAGATGTTATTCCATTAGGATGTAAAGACACGGGAATATTAGAAAAAAATGCAGAAGCAATCTTAAGTGTATTAGCATCAGTTAAAGAAGTGAAAGAAAGTTATATTTCAACACTTTCAGTAGAAGAACAAAGTTGGTTAATGATGTATGTTTATAAAGGACTTGGAGCATCAGAAAATAAAGAAGCCACAATTGTTCCACCAGCACAAATTATGTTCAAATGGTTTAATGCAATCTATAAAGTTGGAGGAGATGGATGTGTTATGAGGGCTGTTTCAAGAAGAAAGGCACTTTAAATTCATTCAGTTTTTTGTTTGATATTTCGATAAATTTATTTTTTGTTATATTGAAAGTAAAAATGTTATTATCAAATGAGTTTGTTGAATAATTTTTAGTAACAATTTTATAGGAGTAGAGATGTTTATTGTTTCAAAAAGGAAGTAATTTGTTTTGTTTTTTGGGAAATATTTTAAAAGAGTATTTTAAGTCTTTTCGTTCATTCCAATTTTAGAATGTGTTAAATAATGATCTAATAATTCATCTCACTTCATTAAATGTCACAAACCAAGAAAGAAGAATTTACTAACTTTTCTCTTTCAAAACACAAAGATGTTGATAAGTTGAGTGAACAAATCAAAAGTTTTTTATTAGACCATGATTTAAGTTTAGAAGTTAAACTTAAACCAAAGAGGCTTCCATCTGATGATTATCAAATAATAAATGTTCACAATGGATTTATTAATAAACAAAATACATTTTCTATTGTTTCTAAAGAACAAGATGAAACAGTAAAATTAGAAGTTGAAATTACAAATTTCAGAAAAGAAAAAGTTGAATTTGAAATAATTCAAAATGGGTTGTTTGAGCATAAAGTATTTTTCACTCCAAAAGTGATTGGAGAGCATTTGATTATTGTTTCTGTTGATGGTTATTCTCTTCCTCCTATTTCATTAATTATAGAGGATGTTATTGATATTTCCCAATGTTGGATAGATGGAAAAATCAAAGAAGGTGGATTACTTCAAGCAGAAAAAGCTATAGGTCAACTTCATATGATTGGGGAATCTGGATCTCCTTTTGAAGGGGAATGTACAACTACAATAAGTTGTTTTACACCAAACAATAAAGAAATAAAAGGTCAAGTTAAAAAAGGAGAGCATGGAATTTATACATTAGAATGTGAAATTAATAAAAGAGGAACTTATACATTTGATATTTGGATTAATAATAAAAGAATTAAAGCATTATTATTCAACACTCATTTCATACTTCCTATTTGTCCATCTAAATGTCTTATCTCAGGTAAAGGAATGGAAGAAATAAAAACTATCAAAATGACAAAGATAGTAGAATTTACAATTCAAACAAAAGATAAAAATGGAGATTGTTTGTTAGAAGGAGGAAATGAATTTAATATTCACATAACAGATCCTAAAAATCAAGTGATACCTTGTGAATGCATTGATAATAAGGATGGTACTTATGTTTGTAAATACACTCCATCATGTTCTGGAAAATATCAAATTGAAGTTCAATATCAAACAAAACCTTTAGCCAAATCACCTTATCTTATTATAATTGAAGATGAGTATGAAGAAGAAAGTGCTCAATGTTGTTTGAAAGTTCATCTTATTATTGCTCTTGTTATATGTATTCTTGCAATGATTTATAAAGTAAATCATCCAAAAATGATGTGTCTAGAATAGAATACTATTAATTTTTAATTCACTAAATTTTTTGTTATTTTAACTCTAAAAAAAAAAACAAAATTTTTAATAAACATTTTTTTTTGTTTTAACGTAAATAAAATATTTCTAAAAAGTAATAGTAAAATTTTAATAAAATAATAGAAAATTAAAAATAAAAAAAAATCTTAAAAAGAAGAATATAATTAAATATGTCGGTTATCGACTTTATCTTAGAACCAATAAGTCAAATAGTTCATGTTCCAGTTTATTTGTTGAAATATTTTTCTTCTTTCGTACTATCATTACCAATGACATATTATTGTAGATATCTTCCAAATAATCCATCATTAAAACATAAGGTATATGGGTCTATTGGAATACTTATGTCATTAATTGTATTTGGACCAATCACATTTTCTATTATCTTTTTAGGGCTTCCAATTTATTATATTGCTAAAACATATCCAACACGTATTATGGCAACAATAACAACAATTGTATTAATTCTTCATTTAGCTTGTATTCATTTATACAAAATATTACATACAGGAGTGGTATATAATTTATCATTTTCAACAGTACATATGATGTATGTTATTAAATTTAGTACATTTGTCTGGTCTGTTGTTGACGCCCATGAAAATAACATTAAGTTATGTGAACATCGTAAGCAAATGATGATTAAAACATATCCTTCATTACTTGAATTCTTTGGATATACTTTCTTTTTCCCAGGAATCTTTAGTGGACCATCATTAGAATATATTGACTATATTAAATTTATTACTTTAGAACAATTTAAAAATTATCCAAAAGATAAAATGGAAGGAGATGTTCCACAAATTCCAATGAAAATGTTCTACAAACGAATAGGATTAGGAATTACTTTTTATATGTTAGTATGGGCTATATCAATATTTGAGCCATTACTTGCTGATTACTACTTTTTAGAAGCACCTGAATCACATGGATTTTTCTTCAAAATGTTTGCTATTTGGTATACTGGTGAAATGGCATTAACTAAATACATTGGTACATGGTATGTTGCTGATGCAATGTCAATTATTGGTGGATTTGGATTTACAACTATTAAAAATGGTAAAGAAATATGGGATAAATTTACTAATATTGATTTCCCTGTATTTTATTTAAGCACATCGTTTAGAAATTCAATTGTTTTATGGAATAGATATGTACAGAATTGGTTAAGTAATTATATTTATCTCAACCTTGAAGGAACTAAATTAGATGCTTTTAAAACTGTTATAACAAACCTTGTTAGTGCTTTCTGGCATGGATTTCTTCCTGGATATTATATTTCATTTGGTACTCTTGCTCTTCATACTGAATTAAGTAAATTAATTTATAAAAAATTAACACCATATATTGCTTATTTGACAAAGAATAATAATAAAATGATGACACTTTGGAATATATTCTTAATTATCTTTACTAATTTGTCAATTAAATATAATTTCTGTCCTTTCTTTATGATGACATTTAAAGCTTCATGGGAAATGTTTAAACAGACATACTTCTGTTTCCATTTGATTGCATTAGTTTTGTTTATTTGGTTAACGGTTGCACCTCCTAAAATCCCAAAAGAAGAAAAGGAAAAAAAGAATAATTAATTAATTCTTTTTAATTGAAAAGTCACTTATTTTATTGCAATGATTCAACACAACATAATCCAGCAGAAACTAACCCCATTAATGTAGAAAATTCTTCTGGTAATTTAATTAATCCTAAACTATTCAATGCAATAATAAGTTCTGTTGCAATTTTTACATATCTAATATATCTTTTTAATGGTTCGTCTTGTTCTTCTTTAATATACTCAAGGCCTATTGATGATAATACAGCAACAAGGAATGATAAATTACCAATTGGACTGGTGTATGGAATAATGGTGTTACTAGTCAGAGATGTGATTGCATTTAAATTATCCATTGCAAAAAAACCAAGCATCCCTCCTGACTTTAATATTCTGAGAAAGAACTCTGGATTTTCATAAGATGAGTCTAGCGTTATTTTAAAGTTGTTCATTTCTTTTAAAACATTACCAATTGCAAAATATTTTCTTGATGTTCCTAATAATGTTACTATTCTCATTAATACTTGCTTTTTAGTAACATCGTCATTTGAAGTTAATAACGCAACTAACTTTGCAGCACATTGGATAGTTCTAAAAAAAGCATCTCTTGTTCCATATCCACTCACAAAATTCGATGTCTTCAGAAGAACAGAATTCATTACATCTTATAGTTCAACTTCATTTTTTATTTTTCAATGATTTTCATAAATTAAAAAGTATAATTAAATTAATCTATTTTTTTTTTCTTGAATTGAACAAATTCGTAATCAATAGAAAAATGATATAATTTTATTTGTTGATATGAAAAGACAACATTCTATCATGAGTTGTTTTTTTGAAGGGTAAGTGATATAAAAACAATTGAACAATGAGAGAAAGAAATATGAATAAGAAAGAGGTTATTGAAACTTCTGATGATGCTTTTTTTGAAGTTTTACCTTCTGTGGAAAGGAAAGAACAATCATCAAGTATCTTTTATTCAAATGTTAGAAATACAGAAGTTGGTATTTCAGACGATAGTTCTTATGGAGTATTTTCACTTGATAAAAGAGATGATAGTTCAAGTGGATCTTTTTTGAGAAGGCAATATCCATCAAATGGTACTGAATTTTCAAGTCCATACTTATCTAACACACCATTACCAATATACTCTCCAGGACCAAAAGAATGTTTTATTGTTAATATGATTAATCAAGGAACAATTAATCTTGTTGGAGAAGTAGAATTAAACAAAATCGAGGAAAATGAAAAAATTGAACATCCCATGGCTGTTAAACAAGAATTTATTTTATCAGAACATCAAAAATTTCGTCCTATAAATAGAAGAAAGAAAAAAAAAGCAATACATGAAGATTTTTCTCGATGTGAATCTGACAGTGAAATTATAAGTGAAAGGAGTGGATTGTTTATGGAAGATAGTATTGAAACATATGTAAAGGAACAATTATTTATAAAAGGAAAACATTTCAAAAAATTGAAACAATGGATTGGGTTATCTAAATATAAAATCATTTTTGATAGTTATTTTGATGACTTAGTGACTGACGTTTTTAACCAAAGGGTTGAAGGTAAGTCAAATACCTCTATGATTATTGTGACTAATAACAATTGGGTTTTTGGTTGTTTCAATAAACTAAAAATACCAATAATCAATAGTCAAGAAGAGACTCATGGATTGAGTGATAATGGGTTTTTTATCTTTTCATTGAACAACCCACATCACACAATGCCAATTAAAATCACACAAAAAGAAACAATTCCAGGAAAATTAATATTATATCCTAAAGATTCAAATCAATTATTTGGGGTAGAAGATGCATTCATTATTTCTCAATTACCAAACGAATCATATATTTTTAGAAATATTGAGCAATATTATTTAATACCATCAGTAGTTGGAAAAGAATTATTTACTGGATGTTGTTATCCAGACTGTTTCTGTGCTGATAAAGTATTTGTAATAGAATGGTTTTGAATTAGCTAAAGAATGATATTCTAATGTCCTCTTTTCTCATTAGATGCTTTAATTGATCGTTCAATACATAACTGTATAAATGGGTCATTAATTTGTATAAAGTCTAGTAATAAAATATTAATTGGAAATGATTCAAGTTCTTTAGAATGAAGAAATTGAAAGAAGTTTTCTTTAACTTTATATGAAACACCTTTCAATGACTTTGAATTAGAAACTGACAAATAACATGATTTAATACTTTTGTTAGTAGGAGTTAGAATAATTTGAAGAATTGTAATACCAGTCCTTCTATTATTAATCCAATTCATTCCATCTGTTAAAATTCTTTGACTAACCTCTTGGAATGTTGGTCTGTCTGGCCAATAGGAATGAATAAAGTCTTGACCCCAGACATATGGAAATCTTTTAACTTCTTTTGGATAATCGTAAAATATAAAAACTCGTTTATTATTAGAAACTAAAACTTCAAGTGGAATGTTAAGATTATTTGGATTACATTCTACACTAATTCCATTGAATAAACAACTTATTATTTCTAAAATTTTTTCATTGTCTTCTTTGTTCATATTATAGATATGATTAATATCAAGAATTATAACTTCTTTCTTATGATACCAAATAAATTCACTCAGTTGTGTTAATATTACAACAAATAAGTCACAGTACAAACCATGTACTGTATAAATATCATCTTTAAATTTTTGAATTCTTAAATCAAAATATCTCACTCCTTCTTGTAATTGTTGGAGTATGGTGAGCGTTTGTGTCTCTGACCAGTCTTTAACAAATCCATTCATTATAATAGGAAATGAGTCATAAGGCTCTGCTGCTTTGATTTGGGTTTTAGTATTATAACTAAAACAGTTATGTGAACCAGCCAAACAAATCTCCTTAATTGTAAGATTTAATACATTTGACTCACCCATCCAATCAGATTTATCATTTAAACGTGACATTTACACAATCATTTTTCTAGTTTTTAGTTTCTTTTTTATGATAAAAAACAAAATAAAAGAACTACGAACATAATTTAGAACCCTTGCATTTCATTCATAAATAATGCTTGTCTTCTTTTCATTTCCTTCATTGAATCTTTCAACATTAATACAGTCCCATCATTAGTTGTTATAATAAATGATCCATCTTCATCATCAAGCATATGAACAGCAGTGATTTTACTGTTTAATTTTCTACTTTCTACGAATTTAAGAACGTCACGTTTTTTTTCTTTAACGTTTTCAAGAACATAAATTGTGCCACTTTCTGCTGTAATAGCGAGAATAGTAGATCCAACAACATTGATTAGTTGTGTAACTTCAACATTATATCTTCCATAAGGTAAAGCAAATGCATCATCTATTCTTTTAGGTGATACATCAATGATTTGATCATTCTTTTCTTCCATTTGAACAATCCATCCACCATAAGCAAAATAGTATGTCACTGTATTATCCCTTGGGAATGATAATAAAGAATTAATATTAAATAAAGGTTTTTTTTGTTCAGTAGATTGAACTTGTAATCCCATAACTTGAAGTAAGTTAAAATGAGAAGATTCCCAAACTGCAACAATTCCATCACAAGACACAGTAATTAACTTATTAGTATTAGTCATTTCAATAAGATCTACATCATCTATATGGGGTGAACTTCCTTCTTTTTCTAGCTTTTTAATAAATTTTGACGAAGATGGTTGTTCAGAGTTAATTTGATATACATAAATATCATTTGTTCTACTGATAAATAATATTCCATCTTCAGTTAGAAGTGATGTTTTATAATAGTCATCAGATTCTCTTTCCATTATATATAATGGGGTATTACTAGTAGTATTCCAGAATGCAATCTTTTTATCATTAGCAATAGTTATAATAGTATCATTAAGAATATAAATTTTTTTAATAATCCCATCATGACTTGTAAGTGTTCCTTCTTCAATTAAAAGTTCATTATCTTTTAATTGCATAAAATCAGTTAAAGAAATTCTATAAATTTCTTTTTTAAATGCAATAACAATTATTCCATTAAAGAATTGAATATCTCCTATAATTCCTTTTGAAACCATTTCATTTTCACAATCAATTTGATATTTCTCTTTAAGTTCACAAATATATTTTTCTGATAATTCTAAGACTTCTTTTTCATTTTCATTATTAACATTCTTAATACTGCTTTGTATTTCTGTAAATATATGTTTTATTTCTTCTATTTCTTTCTTTAATTTATTTTCTTCTTTATTTTCTTCTTCTCCTTGTTCTTCTTTGTTTTTATCTGAAGCATCATAATTATCAATAATAGTATTATCTTTGATAATAGGAGATTCACTAGTCATTCCTCCTTTCCCTTTAAATGAAACGATTCCATACCTCAATTTCTCTTTTGATATGCGTTCAATATTATTTTGTTTTTCCTCTATTAATTCTCTCAAAAATAATAAGAACTTTTTAACTCTAAGCGTTCCAGTGGCTCGTGATTTCATGACAACTGACTTGATTTCAACACCAGTCATATAGTTAAATAAAATAATTCTTCCTGAATGATCACCAACTAGAAAATACTTCTCTTTATTGAATGAAAAATAACAAAATGAATCTACATTTCCTGAGTCATTTGTTCCTGTTTGTTGTTTATTTATTTCAGTTGAATCTCCATAAGTAATAAAACTATACTCATAGGAATAATCACAAAGTGTCTTGGTTTCTTTCTTAAAGAACGACAACATTCTACCTTTCTTTTGAACTTTCTTTTAAAGATTATATTTAGTTTAGTTATAACTTATTTTATTATTTAAATATACTATATCCATTGATTTTTTTTATTGGTGTTTATTAACTCTTCAAAGTTCATTCTATATTATTGCAACTCACATTCAACAACTTACCTAAATATAATTCAGTATAATCTCTGTACCAGTTTATTCTTTCTATGTCCCCATATTATCATTAATGAAATTCGCATTATCAAAACACTGAGACAATAGAATGTCACTCAACAATTAAAGAAATGGTATTGCTTAATGAAACAAATATATGTTATAAATTCATTGAAATAATTCTAACTATGATTAGTTCATGTGGGTTTGTTATTGTTTGAATGCTAGACAGTAATGTATATTTACAAAGGGAATATCTGTTATTCCTTTAACTAAATTTAATAATACAACACACTGATAAAAAAATTTAAACAATTGACAATGACTTAGTCATACTCTTTTTAAACAATGAAAAGTTGAAACATCTTGTAAATTCATTAATTAATAAAAAGTGTTTATTTGAAGTTATTTGAATTTATGACATATTTAAAGAAATTGTTTTTTTTTTGTTATTCGTAGAGTAAAGTCATAAAGAAAAGGAGTTGTTGACTGTTCTTCACTTATCAAAAGAAATAAAGTAGAATATAATGACACTGACTTTGGATTTACTCAAGAAAAAGAATAACGAGGAAATGAGGTTTGTATTAACGGAAAAATGGTGACGTTATACCACGTTTTTAAAGATAACAAACTTAAAAATATTAAATTTATATAACCAATGTTAATTAACATTAAACTTCTTAATGGAAGAATTCTTTCTATTGACCTTGAACCAACAGATAAAATCTCTGACCTTAAAGCTAAATTAGAAGAAATTGAAGGTATTACTCCAGAACAACAACGACTTGTTTTTGGTGGAAGACAACTTGGAGATGATAAAACACTTCAAGAACTTAACATTCAACCAGGAACTCAAATTAATCTTCTTCTTGCTTTAAGAGGAGGTTTTTAATTAAATTATAGAATTTAATTGATTTGTTGTTGATCAAAAATTATTTAATGTTTTTATAGAAAGAATTAAATGTTATTGATGTTTCTTTTAATAAAGAAGAAAAATAATGTTTTATGATAATTTCATATGAAAAAACTTAAGATAAATAAAAATAATTTCATTTTACTATATTAAATTCTTCATCATTATCTTTTTCTAAGTTCAGTTTTTAATAATCTAATTTTATTCATTGTCTATAAATGCAAGTAGCTAAAGTCATTGCTATTATAATGACTTTATTCTTGCTTATTTTCATCATCCAATTATTCATGTATCCTAATATTAATACATTAGAGTTTCAAGCTCATGAAAGTAGTCCAATTCCAACAGATAAAGAAGAGGGACTAATTGACGAAGAGGAAAAAAGTTTTTGGGCTAAGGCAGAAGTCATTCCAAAATCACACTCATCCAAACGATATTGTATTGCAATAGTTCCACCTGAAGGTGTGAAAGTTATTGGTACACCTCATCACCCAAATATTGATTTCATCACATCACAATACTCTGCTGAGAACCTTAAAGCAATGTGGCCAAGAAAAGGGTTTTATCTTGGTAATTTTGATATTGATTACCGTCATGAAACAGAAAAAGAATATCCATTTGACCAATACAAAGAGGATATTTGTGTGTCTGAAATTTATCATGATATGGGTAAAAAGTCAGGTGATTACAGTAAGGCTGATTTAATTTTCATTCCACCAATTGGAGTTAAGTTAGATGATGAATTTGCAACTAAATTATACAATTTTCTTACAGCATCAGAAGCTAAAATTCCTGATGCATGTGCATTCCAGGTCTACATGACTAAAAAAGAACGAATAAAAAACAAAGTGTTTACACAATTAACTGGATTTATTCCTGATTATCCATATAGAAGTTTTAGATCTTTTGGAGGAACGTTAATAAAAACAAAAGACCTTAAACCTATCTCTATTTGGACAAATGAGATTTGGTTTAGAAATCGATATGAAGCACTTGTTCAACACTATTGTGAAGTTCTTGACCAACCAATTGTTGTTTCCCCAACAAATTTATATTCACCATTAATCGATTTTTAAACTATATACATTGTATTTACTGTATTATTTCCTCTTTTATTTTATTAAACAATCACTTTTTTTTTAAGTATCAGTTCTAAAGGAAACAATACTTTTTTTTACAATCATACTCTATCTAGCAAAAAATGTGTATGAATTT